CTTCAGAAACCTTTGCAGCTCATTAGCAGCACTGCCATATTGAAGGCTTCCAGAGAACTTGCATGCATAACTCCCTTGGGCCTATTTATATTTGGTGATCTTACCGTGAGTTTTTGTAGCTGTTCAGAGTAATGCCTAGATGACTTCTTGAGATAGCCGTTGTCTTGCTTATGTGAATTCCCTGTTGAGTTGGTGGTGGTCTTTCCAATTCGCAATAGTAACATTTCAGTATCAATACTTAATTTTTCTTTTTATTTAGTTTTCTTTATTTTTCCCCTTCTTGACCAATGTTAATCTTGTTAATTTAAATTGTTGTTTTAACTGTATATGTATATTGTCTTATGAATGATTTTATGTAAGCCACCCTGAGTAGACTTTGTCTAGAAGGTGCCGGATAAAAATCTAATAATAAAATAAAATAAAATAAACATCATTTGCAAAGTCACTCTCAGCAAGATACACTGCACTGGTAATGTTTGACTTTTGACTATTTAAAATTGTTATGGCCATGTAATATTTCTCTGGTGCCAAAACACTGCATCACAATCAGAAAATCTGTCTGAATGCTAGAGTGGTGGACCAGTCTTACCTTTGTCATGGTCCTAATGGGCTTACATTGTGCTTACTTAAGTGACATTCCAAGTGAGGCAAGTAGAGTACCATAATATAGCGTATTAATTAATTAATTTTTAAGTATGCTATACAGATGCATACATGTATTCAATATAACAATAACAGGTATGTATCATATATAAAACATAGAACATTTATGGAACATAGTAAGACATAGATGAAGAAATCACAACAACAGGTGCAAATCATTCAAAGCAGAAGCAAATAAAAAGATTTCAGGATGGGTCTGAACAGTGACATAGAAGAAGTATCTATTATTTCTAAGAAGAGGGTGCTCCATGGAGTGGGTGCTACAATAAAGAAGGCCCATGCCCTGATTGACAGAAGACAAACATCTACACAGCTAGGCAGGGATCTAATGGTGATAGTAGCAGCCTGGCAGATCTGTATGTTGGAAGATAATGTATCTTTATAGGTTAACTAATGTAAGCATACATGCTATAATTAAATGTTAATCATTATAATTGGTGGGGACAGTTTACCTGTAGATTCTTCTTATGTTTTATCAGCATTTTTTCCACATAGTTCTCTCCCCCCCCCATCCTTTATTATCAGCTCATGTTGGGGTGCTTCCAAAAACATGTAGATTCTGCAGAGGTACTTACTGTTAAAATTTAGATTTTAATATTAACAGTTTGAAATGTTAAGCTTGATCCAAAAGTGAATAGGCATCTACTGCAGTTCTTTCCACTGTAATGATGTTTTTAGAATGATGATTGGTGAAAGTTTGGAGTTGAGGTTAAGGACAAGCTTCCCTGAGGAAAACTGTTTCTAAGGGAACAGCTCACAGAACTTGCCTGTCATTTTCCTTTTCATATACCTCACTAGAGTGGGCCTAACTGTTGCTGCATAATTTTATTCACAGCTCTAAGTAGCTGTCATAGTTGGGGAATTCTGAGATTTGTAGTGCCTGACCTTAACTAACTTGCCACTGCTTTCTGTCTTAGTTGCAGCTTCCAGACTACATATATGGCACAACAGGCCTTGTACACTTATGCACTCAGGTAGACAAGGTGCAGCTTGGCTTCAGGCTTTGGTTGTCCTGTGTCAACCTTCTACTTCGGAGGTGGCTCAGAGTACTCAACAGAGATGTTCATCAGCTTCAGCTGACCCCTGAATTCCAAACTAAATTGAACCGAGCCAGCCCAATTTTTGTGAGGTCCCGACGGATGCAGAAAGGCCTGATCTGCCTTTAGAGGGAAGATAAAGGGCCTGGAGTGCTTTTGGATCTTTTAAGAAATTTGAGCTGCAAAAGCTAGACAAGTCTTCTCCAGTGGGACCAGATAAGCAAACTACTGTACAAAGGCAGTGTGACCTGGAGGAGAGCTGATTTTGCTTACTGACAGCTCTAACACACAATCGGAAGCAAAATTCTCATCACCACTTTCCAATCACCATGTTTGTGGGGATGGATTTTATGAAGGCACTAAAGTCTTATATTCAATTATTTCACACAGTCTTCACCATTCTTCTCCCACCTTTAGCACGGTTAGAGCTGTCAGTGCAAAAGAACAGAGCTATGTGGATTACACTCTGAGCTGAATCTGAGCCATTTCCCTAACTTTTCTGTTCTTAATATGACTCCTGTCTGATTGGTTTATCTGACTAGAAAAATCTCTTTGTTTTATGGGAATCTACATGTGTTTCTCATAAGAATGAATGATAATACTCATTATTAGAGATGGGTCCGAACCACGCTTTGGTTGTTCAGCATGGTTCAGCAGATCAGGCTCACAGGTGAGCACCCTGGACTTCCTTGCCTCGTCTCCTCCTCTGAGTGAGCACCTGAGAAAGGAGACAGGGTGGGGAACCCTGTGGGTCTGATCTGCGGAACTGCGCCAAACCTCCAAACCATGGTTCAGGCCCACCTCTACTCTTTATTTATTTTTAAATGTATATTCAAGAAAGACAGCGGGCTGGATAGCTCAGTGAGTTAGGTATGTGGCGGTGAAGCCAGAGGTTGGGAGTTCAGTTTCCCGCTGTGCAGCCCAGAAGAGCCAGCCTGTGTGGCCTTGGGAAAGCTGCACTGTTCCAGAAGTGCCCCCAGACATTCCCTTAGAGGAAGGGACTGGTAAACCACTTCTGAGTACTCTCTGCCTAGGAAACCCTGAAGAGGACTGCCATAAGTCAGAACTGACTTGATGGCATGGTATTATGATTATGATTATGATTATGATTATTGATGACAATGATGATGATGATGATGATGATGATGATGATGTATTATTATTATTGATGACGATGATGATGATGATCATCATCAGATGATAGCTGGCAGTCAAGAAACAGAGAACATAACACTCACAGCTACACAGGCTGCATCAAACCAGAAGAAGAAGAAACAGCCAGAAGTTTCACTAAAGGAAAGCTTTTCACACAACATCCAGACACGAAATATAAATGTCAACCAGGGCTGGGTGGTACAATTAAAGGGGCAACCCCAAATACTTTGAAAGGGTTTAGGGGTGATTGTCCTTGAGCTAACACCTAATCTGGCAGCATAAGAAAGAGGTTGCTGGGCTTAAGAAGGCACTAGAGGTGTATGTGCAAAAGCCCGGGGAGTGTGTAACTTGCTAGTGTGGTAGTAGTGAGGAGAGAGAGCTAACTGAGAACATTTCACTGGCAATGGGCAACTGTGGATTCCAGAGAAGCAAATCCCAGCCACTGACATCACTGGAACAAAGAAGCATGACAGCTAGGTAAGTATGCATAGGATTGTAGCCTGATACATGTCTATGAAACATATGTATATATTTTAGCAACAAACTGCTTCCTCACAGTGCTTGTTAAGAGGACTCATGGATAGTGTGCTTTCAAAGTTACCAAATTATGTATGTTCTATATATAATTATGTTGTTCATGTTTCTGACTGTCATATGTACAACCATACATCTTTCTGTGCCATTGTATCATGGCCACATGCCATGATTTAGGTTATTGAAGCTAGAATGTAATTTCTAAATGGGATTTGTAGTCATGGAATGGTGTAGAAGGAATCCATCCTAGTCTGTGTGTCATGTAACTAGATGCTTCGAGAAGCTGTTTTTGCTGAGAGCTAGTTGGAATTT